AACAGCCAATCAGCAAGAAGTATAGAGGAAAGCTGCATGCCTATTGGTTGATGCCCTGCATTCCATTGTGATGACTCATGCCCAGACGTGGTAAACAAGGCACACTAACACAGTAATACATTTGCTATAACACAGCCAAAAAATTCAAATAAAACCATTCTAAAAGCCTGTATCACAAAAATTTAAAAAACGCCTAGGGGTATTTGCCCACTGTACCTCCATATTAAATTTCAGGACCTTAGGCCCTAAAATGAAGAAGCTGAATCCATTTAAAGATATGGCAGGAGGAGAAGGAGGAGAAGGAGAAGGAGGAGGAGAAGGAGAAACATCAGAAAAAGCAATATGGGTTCACCACCACTTCGTGGTGTGGTGAACCCATAAAAATATAAATGAAATGTAACAATGCAGGGAGGCCGGAAGCATAGAAATGCTTATGAGGAGCTCGGAGGCCTCCCTTCATAACGTGATTAACAATTCAAATAAATCGGATAAATAAGAAATAACTTAGGTAACGGGTAAATGAAACAAAACAATAAAATACAATACATACAATACTATCTACAATAATGAAAAGTAGTAATGAAAAGTAGTAAACAAGGAAACTTAAACAAAAATTAAGAATGTGTGGGGTTATTTATGAAAGCTTTTAGTATGATTTTTGAAAATGGTGACGGAGGGACTAATTTGTAAAGTTCTACTTAGGTTGTTCCAAATTGTTGGGCCCCTGTACGTGATTGTAAATTGACAAAGATTCGATTTCGCATTGGATGGCCTTAAATAATTGCATTGGCGCGTGAAGTGGTTGTGGATGTCTGAGTTTAATGTTTTAAATTATAATGTCCTTGAGTTATCGTGCTAAACCAGACACACATATATATATACACACATACAAACAAACATACACTACAGAAAACGTAACCTTCTTGGCCAAAGTAATCACCTTCAATATCTTTCAGTTGAGCTTGGAAAACTGGTAGAAAAGGAGGAGAGGCTGGAGGGTGACGTCAAGCTGAAATATTACGCCATCTTTGCCGCCGCATGTGGACTTCATCTGGCTATTCTGGTCCTGTTTCTCCAGGTTAGCAAAACCGGTGGTTAAGGCACTACTGTTGGTAACCTGTATCAAGCCTCTGTCACACATTTGGTCACACATTCAGAACCTTCCCCCGAACACAAACCAACCAAGGTTGTCTAAAATTCAAGAGCAATCTGACCAGACCAGGTTTAGGCCTTTCCTTCGATACGAATCGACAATTTAAGGGTAAAAAAGTAAATGATTGCCCACCCCGACCACTACTTACCTACTCTTGCACACACGTACACACCCTAACATTTTAAAACATTTGGTTGGCGCAGGCTAACAGAAGCCGATCTAGCCAAAGACCAGGCAACAACAGACGGCTTTGCTCCCAACCCAATTCTAACCTTATGCTGAGGTCACATTTCCGGGGCCTGGCCGGGCAGCTTTTGCCAGTTTTGGAAACAAAAAAATTCGATATATAAAAGTCAACAAAACACAGAAACGTTTTCGATGCTAATCATGGGCACTATATCTATATACTCTTGATATGGATTGTTAATTTCTCGTTCATACAAACAGCCCGGCCGAGCCCCGGTTTGGAAATGTGACCTAAGCATTAGTCGGGGAAGTCCGGCGGTGTTAGGCTGTTTCGGTTATGTTTGACAGTGGTTTTACACAATCTCTCGTTGATGAGGTCCAAGATACACATAACATTTTTTCACAGATGTTTCGTAACTACCACATGCGTTACATTGCTATGTATTCAACACAGGTGAGCAGGGAAGGCGTGGCACTGGCTCTAGACTTCTGGTTGGCAGCGTGGTCAGGCAGCAACATCGGCGGCAACATGGATGCCTGGAATCATACTGAGGCGGGTGCAAACTACACACTAGGAAACACATCACAGGTATATAACTGGTGTTTAAAGAAATAGTACTAAAGTCAATAATTAAGATAGGCTGTGTGCCCTGTAACTTCATCATCTTCATCTGTTTCTTTTAGTTTCAGGTTCTTTCGGTTTCTTTTTTGCTAGCTAGGTGAATTATCCACGGTTTACAAAAGAGAAATCAAACCCTTCAGATATATGTTTAGACATAACTATTGTTTCATTCAGCTATTTTTCATTATGTAGATATTAGTTGTTGTATAATCTGTTTCAATATTGTTGTATGTTTATAAGTTGCAATTAGCCTCCGGGCACGAATTTGCAATAAACTCAGATTATCTGTGAATAGTCTGGCATTTGTAGTCTGCCCTAAGATGATTTATGTATTGCAAATAGGTAGTCGTATTTTTTTGTTCGTCTCTCAAAGTAAAAAAGACCGTAATCTCTATATGGCTGTTCTGAAACACCATATATACAAGGCAACAATGTATGTCTTAGAAGACAACAGAGTCAGATAATTTTTTCTTGTTACTTGTTACTACATAGAACTTAGAAGGGCAGATACCACATTTGCATTGCGAGATTTTGGGGCTGGAAGGCACAGGTAGGGTATAGACTGAGACTTTCCTACTTTGGTCAAGTTTTGTTTATTTCACCAGTTTAGTTGGTGTAATGAGAGATCTGAGTGGTTAGGTCTTGTCTGGCCAGGCGGATGGATACCATGGAAAATTAGGTCAAAGTTAAGGTTTTGTTACTATCATGATCATCATGCAGCTGAGGCGGGATTTTTGACCTGGTCAACCCCCTGTTTCCTTTCTATATTTGTGAATCAGACCCTTGTGGCTACCTGGTGCAGAAGAATTTTTGAGATTGAATTATGGGCAAGTACTTTTATGAGGACTTCTAATAGACTACATGTATTAAAGCATGTGTTCCTATGGCCAAATCTAATAGTACTGTCTGCCCTGAATTCTTTTAAGCCGCTACAAGACTCTACAGGTTATTACATCATCGGATACACGGGGCTTTCCGTGGGAGCCATTGTCCTCTCCGCCGCTGCAGTGGCCACGTCCATTCTATCCAGTCTGAGGGGGGCAAGGGTCATGCACGACAGGATGGTCCACAACATTGTCAGGGCACCACTGAGGTACGCAGGTTGTTGTTGTTTGTGAATGTTGTTTTCTTTGTTGTTCTTTTGTTGTTGTTACGAACCTCAACAGAGTTGAAACATGATGGATTTTTTCCAAGTAGCTGTCTTGTATTCAGTCACCGGGTGGAACTTGTGAACGTTTCAGACACATCCGTGGAACTTCATTCACTAGTGCCCCCACTTCGAAAATTCTCAACAAGGACACGTCTTGCCACTTCCACCGAAGCAAATCAACCTTTTCTTCCTCTATTCACCACCTCTTAGGAGGAAGTTCTATGTTAAAAGCTTCTTTCCAAGAACAACATCACTTTGGAATAAGCTACCTCGTGATTGCTTCCCCTATGAGTATAACCTTAAACTCTTCAAGTCAAAGGTCAACAAACATCTGTCCATACTGGATATTCTGTAGCCTTGTTTTGTGGTGACCGATGAAGTAAGTAATAAAAAAAACATTAAAAAAACGATTTTATTATCAAGAAAACAAAAACGCCCCACTTTTGAATAACCTTTGAACAGACCTGTCCTTGGTGCCTAATGGTGCTGCTGTCTTGTCTTGCAAAGGTGCTTTTTTCCCATATCTAAGCAACTTCCATAAGTTGCAAGAAAAAGTTTTAATGTGGTTCGTCAGCATGAGACGTCACCAATAATTTCCACGATTTATTTATGTTTTCTTGATGTGAGTTGCTATCGTGAGAATTATCAACAATCAAGAACACATTATGATATATGCCCTTGCACCAACTGTCTGCGCTCTTTTGGTATGATTGTTTAGGTTCTTCGACACGACCCCTACCGGCCGTATCCTGAACCGCATGGCAGGAGACCAAGTTGAACTAGATGATGTGAGTGTATTAAATTAAACAACATATAACCATATGATGAAGAGGCAATATCTGTTATATGTATCTCTTTGTTTCTTATGACTTCAATCACTTAAAACTGTACGAATGCAGTGAAAACCATACAATTAAACACCTCTACGTACTAACTAGGTCCCTTAGATAATTTTTCCCATTGACACAATCAATAAGAGTCCTATAGTGACCACCTGTCCACATGGACCTAATTGATTTCATGGGTCTCTAGAATGGTCTTTAGAAGTTTCAGTAGTTTTAACAGTAATAGATTATATCATTGGGACATTGTACAATAACGATTGTATTTTGCTGTGATATTGTACAATAACGATGTTATGTTGCCGTGATATTGTTCAAAAACACTTGTATTTTGCCGTGATATTGTACAATAACGAGTGTATTTTGCCGTGATATTGTACAATAAAGATTGTATTTTGCCGTGATATTGTACAATAACGGTTGTATTTTGCCATCATATTGTACAATAACGAGTGTATTTTGCCGTAATATTGTACAATAACGATTGTATTTTGCCGTGAAAGTGTACGATAACGATTGTATTTTGCCGTGAAATTGTACAATAACGATTGTATTTTGCCGTGAAATTGTAAAATAACGATTGTATTCTTCCATGACATTCTTCTCCCGAGCAGTACCTACCCAACGAAATGGAAGCTTTCCTCCGATTTGGTTTAGGTCTTGTGTCAGCCATCATTGCGCTGGGCGTGGTCACCCCATACTTCCTCATCGGCATGCTCCCTATCCTCGTCTTTTACTACGGCATGCAGAAACTCTACCGAGCCTCTAACAGGTAAGGCCACATCGACTTGATTTCATGGATGACATCCTCTGAGGACCACCAAACTAGTGCGCGCGGGCGAATAAAAAAATTCCGGCCAAAAATAAAAATGCTACTAAACCACAGGAATACAAAGCTGGTATTGTGAATTTGTGGCAGTACACAAGCCGGCACATTCTGCCTTTTTGCGGACTTCATGAATCGGCACGTAATACTAGTACTGAGTTCTTGAGTTGTGGAGCTTCGGTAGCCTGGGTGCCATCCTCCAGAGTTACCACCGGCTCCGTATTGTCGCTAACTACCATGGACTGACTACCCAGGTCTAGAACCTCGGAGGACGTGATTTTTTTTTTCTTTTGAGAACAGGCGAAGATCAATGCGCGCGCGGACGCCATCCATAAAATTAATTTGGTGTGGCCTAAGTTAAACCCACAACCAGTGGATTTACTAGTATCATTATCATAATCTTGTTTGTTAATAAAACTCGGGATTGCAAAGACCGAAATGTGAGAACATTCTTCATTAACGCAACTTCACAAATTTACGGTGAAAAATGTCCGCGTTTTAATATATCCTAATTTGAAATTGAATACAATGAATAGGGGATCAAAAGCCATTTAAACTATATTCAATTCAACAGGTTGTCTCATGATACAGCATATGTAAAATAATCAATGAAGGTAGAATGAAAATAAACTACAAAGATACAGGTAAACGTACAAACAGACACACAGAGAGTAAAACCTCAATACACAAAGGTAATAAGTACATGAACGTTTAAATACTAGTCTACGAGTACATTATCCGTTAATAGATGTAGTAAGATTACAAACTTGTATTACTGTTCTTGTAATGTACTATAATAACTTCTTTATCACCTACACTTAGCTCCTAAGGAAATAAACGTACAGTAAAGTTCGTTTATTATTTCTTGATGATCCTACTGTAGAGAACTAAAGAGGATTGCAACTATCACAGAATCCCCGGTATGTAGCCAGCTGTCAGAGTCGTTTGGAGGCCTGTCTACTATACGGGCTTACAGGTAGGTATGATATGTTTGCGTCCATCTATCGAGACAGTCTGTGTAAAAAAATAGTCTTACAGAATACAAGGATTTCAAGATGGTGGACGCCGCTGACTCACACATTTCTGTCTTTTTCGAGCAAATTTGAAATGATCTCTGTGTAGTTACATGCCCTGTGTGTAGTATGTAGTGATTTGACTAAAGGTCTATCTACGAGAACGGTCCAAATAAATTCGCTCAAAAAACACAGAAATATGTGTGTACGCTTCGTCAGCGGCGTCCCTGGAAAGCCGCCTGTCCAGGTTACGTCATTCAACGTCATTAGTAAAATTGCACTGTATTCCGTAAAATGGCACTGTATACTAATACGATTGCACTGTATTCCGTAAAATGGCACTGTATACTCTGGCACCCTTGTTCTCAGAAGTGCTACTTATCTACTAGACATGTAGATATCATGAAGATCCATCCACGGCTACTCAAGTTATGCCCTTAACATAAATATATAAGGCTCCATACTCCACTCCAATAGACTTTTTGAGGCCTTAGGCAATAGGGGCAGTGAGTTGTTGTGTAAAGGGAACAATATTGAGAGTTCGTATTAGAAATGGGTACCTGACTCCGAAGGTACCGCATTTCCCCCCTGGGTGTGCGAAATCATGTAAAAAGATCAGATGATTTAGCTATTAATATTATTTGGGTACCAAAATGGGTGTTTTCTTTATTTTCTTCTATGATCCTTGTCGTCTTCTGGTTTTATCTATCAGTTTTGTTGTTACGCATGTGCGTCACTTATCTTGTATGTTGTCTCATGCTTTTCTTTTATTATTCTAAAAATCAGAAAAAAGAAATGACTTCAAAGAAATCTTGTAAATTGCATTCTCCAAGGACAAAGAACTGTATTCTTGTCATTTATCTACATACTGAGTTGAAACTACACTGTCCCAATGTATACTGACCCCCGTGGGGCAAAAATACCCAAAATTCTGGCGGGAAATGGTTACTGGAAGGAACCTGGGCTGATTTTTAGGGTACCACCCAGAAAATAAAGGACTCATCCTGGGCATTTTTTCTTCAGTTTTAAATGCCCAAAGTACGAAATGCTGATTCAAATGTTCTAATGAGAATCAGTATGTGTCAATATCACAATGTTTGCCCTACTCAGAATATTTCTAGTTTTGCTGCCCTGAAATCGCATTGGATGCCTTTAAGTCTGTAATGTACTTGGAGTGCAGACTGCACTGAAAAGCAGGCACTCCAGGTAATGCATTGTGTTCATATTTAAAACTTTTTTGTCCTGAATGAACAGAGCAGAAGAGAGATTCACGAATGAAATGAAGAGAAGAATAAACGAGGCCTTCACCCCCAATTTGTACTTGCTGGGTGTCGAGTGTTGGATAGGTGTGCGACTGGTAAGTTAAAATTTCACAGATTATGATTTCTTGAAAAATTCGGGTAAATGACAACTTAAAAATTGTATTTTTTCAAATTTGATTTTATTAGTTTGTACATTAAACAAAACAGACAGTAATAATACAAAACAAGGATAAAAACATGTGCAGGATGTGGGGAGTAGCATGAAATGCTAATACAAAGCCCTCCTCCTCTAAACTATACAAAATTAAATATAATCAATAAAGGGAACTAATACAGTAGAAAGTGGAAATAATACAATAAGGGAAATCAAAGAATATACGGTATAATTTAATGACAATGAAGTAAGGTGATGTAGGTTATAGATACAGTGCAATAATGATAATGATTATTATAAGTTAAAATAAGAAAGGACACAATGAAACTATGTGTCACGCAAATGCACATAATGTCGGTTGCAAAGAAATTGCTGGATTTGATTGACAATATATAACTTCTGAGAGGTTACTTTTATAGTACAGATAAGAAGATATACATGCATTAATAAGAGTCCGTTGCTGCTCAAAATCTATTCTTTACACTCACATTAAAGATGCGGAAGGTTCCTTCTCTTATTTTATGTGTATCCTTACAGATTTAAGACCTAAGATTTAAGATCCTAAGATTTAAGACATACTTAAATATCTAAATTCTTGTGAACAACAATAACATCCAACACTTTCAGTGACTTCAAAAACCTATACAACTCTTCTTATGCCAACATATGTTGCTCCAGTCAGATATCAGTGTACTAGTATTTTGGAAAATTCATATTTGAATTACTACAAAAGCGACACCATATTGTAAATAGCTGATATATCCCCTGAATTACAGAATGTAATAATACTCTTCCTAAGAAAACACAATAGATTAGCTTTTTAAATTAGTAGCATTATGGACTAGCTCGTTAGAATTATATTTTGATATTAGTTTGTTTATGTACCTTGTTGTTTTTTTGCCATACATTGTACCAGCTACAGTTGTTCAGCATTAAAGTTGATTTGATTTGATTTAATTAAAGCTGTCAATAGTTCATGGACAGTTCCAGCCTTATGCCCCAACCTACATACTAAATATCATGAAGACACATTCAAAGTTGCAACCAAATTTTAAAGTTACGAGTTTAAAAAATATCACCAACCCCTATCGTGTACCCATATATTAAACCTTCTAGTCGAAGGTTATGTTATATATTATTTGCCTTTTTCATGTACCGCAGAATCTATCGTCTGTTGTGGATGCGTGATGATTGTAATACCGATCTTCCCAGGTTTCCGCGGGTGCAGTTGTAATTTTTGTTGGCGGTCTGACGTCGGTGGTAGCAGGGTTACAAGGGTTGGTGTCCCCTGCATGGGTTGGACTCGCCATTTCGTATGCAATTCGGGTATGTTTGTACATGTATGTACACTATCGTCAAGGAGAAATAAAGTAATCTTTGACAATTTCTAGAACTCTCACCCTGTAATCCTTCCGAAGATTTGATATTATTTGATGTATGCCTATTTTGGTCCGCTTATACTTCTGTTACTTAAGTTCGTGCTTAAGTTACCTTATTTCAATTTGCCCCTTGATTGTACATAAGTTTTCTTTAGTGATAACTTTATGTTGTATTATATTGTTATTATTTTATTGTGTTTGGGGTTTTGCCCCCCCCAGGGGGCTTGAAAACCCCCCTTCTGGGTGATATGTATCTCTGGTTAAATAAACAAACAAACAAACAAGATAATTTTATCAGCTTGATCTAATATAGGATGTTGTGATTTTCTTTTATACCACCAGGAATTGTATTGCATTTGCATGTTTCGATGTCTCATGCCTCGGTGCTTCTCGGTGCACTGATTCTCGACCCTATATGTAGCCGATGTTGGTGCTTTTCAGATTGTTTTCTCTATTCAGACGCTCTGAGGAAGATGCTTGATAGACAACGAAATGTAAGACAATCCCTGGTTATGCAATAGTATGTTCCCTGCTGTCGACAAGTTTCGGACAAGTTTTTTAAAGTCAGTTTGCAGAGATATGGTCGACTTAAAGCAATTTTACAACTTCTTTTGTGTTTATTATCCTTTACAGATGCAGTTACAGCTCTTCTCAGCGGTCAGTGCCTTTGCCAAGGTTGAAGCTAAGATGACGCACGCCGAGAGGGTGGACACCTACTCAAGAATTCCGGGAGAAATTTATCAGCGTGAAACAGGTCACTGTCTCTTGTATACTTTGGCCAAATTCGCAGTCATGGTACTATGTCAGGGCACGTCAAAATATTTGAATTGGTCACTAGCTAGCAGACCAGCCTTTCACACACGAGACGCGGCAGTAGCTGCTTGTATTGCACATTTTCACATTTTTAATGTAATACAATATTATATAATAATGTAATATAATAGTGGAAGCAGCCCTTGATAGAGCTGGCTGGAGGAACCTGACGGAGGAGAGCAAGGGACCAGTATCTGGCCTGTGCATATAGGCATAGGCAGGTAAAACTTTCTATTCAGGATGCCCCAGCTGTATTTGGTCGCAGCGAGTTCCACTCTACCACAATACCCCCTAACATTGGTTTTTATTTTTGGAAATGGTCTCATTTGAGGAAGGATTGACACAGCAGTTAAGTATCACCTCTTGAAGATGTCAACCCTGAGACCAGACTGTAAGATTTGAAGCACTCACATCGGGAAGGACCCTTACTGTTTTTGATAAGTGTTATGGGATCTTTATCGTGCTTTCCTCAAACACGGGACCTCTGAATTTGCGCCCTATCCAAGGGGACGTCTCTAATCAAAGCTAGGTACTTATTTGCACCTGAGGCAAGTGCGAAAAAAGGCGTTCATCGCCTTTCCCAAGCGGACTGCAAGGGCATAAAAACCAAAACCTTCAAAATTTGAGTCAACAACCCAAACGACAAAACCACCTTACCACCTGGTTGATAACTCTGGTAATTTAAACCGTGACTACTTCTTCTACATGCAGGGAACACCATCCCTCAGCGGGAATGGCCGGAGTCTGGGACGGTTCAGCTGGACAACGTGTCTGCCCGGTACGATCAAAGTCTGGACCCTGTACTCATCAAGGTCACGGCTAACATCAAAGCAGGGGAGAAGGTAAGGATGATCATCTTCATGGCGATATGGTTTTATGAATGAACTTTATTGCTCAACAATCGTACAAGGTACAATATATGGCAGTAATACAACTACAAAACTTTACTTACTACAAACTACTATCTAAACAGTATTTGAGTTACTACATGGTCATGTATTGATGATATGTTCTCGCTTATGGAATAAAGTGTACAGAAATTGGCCTAGGTAAAGAGATATGGAAGTTGGACATGATAATAATTTATGAAATGTATCGTACTGTGTAACAGATTGGGTGAATTTTGTCTTAGTAGTGATAGTCTGTAAAAATGTATATCTTTTCTATAGGTGGGACAAGTCATAACAAAGTGAAATTCATCTTCAATATTCTTATTACATGTGGGACACAGTCTCTGAGTGGCTGGTGTGTTGTGGTGTCGTACTTTACAGAAACTTGTCACTCACCTGAACATCGCAGCTTTGGATATCATGAAAATGAGGAAGACTTACCCATTTTAGATTGAAATTTCAAACCTTCATTATTATATAGATAACAATTTACTGAAAAAGACAGTTGGGTACATGTTCAGAACCTCCCACCGAACTACAGCCGACAAAGGTTGGCTGAAGTTTGGGAGCAGGTTTAAGCCACGCCTACCTTTCGATACGAATCGAATTTGAGCTAAACTTGAGTCAAATACGCCAAATACGCCCTTACCTACTTTGAAGGATTTCGGCTGGTTCGGGAGGCCATAGTCGGCTATGTGTAACATGGGCTTATCTTAAGATTAGCTTTTTTCAGATGGGGTAAATATCTCTTAGCTTTTAAGTACACTTTATGTACTCAAAAGCTAAGCATATCCAACCTTTCTAATGTCCACACAGGTTGGCATCTGTGGCAGAACAGGCAGCGGGAAATCCTCCCTCACTCTGGCTCTCTTCAGAATGATCGACATGTTTGAAGGTGGGTTTGCACTTTTATGACATCCCAAATTACATGTCTGTGAAAAGTGGAGCATCTAACAATCTTTCGTCGGGTTTATTAGCAAGAACAAAATGAGCCATTTCAATAACTCATTATATGAATAGGTAGACCTGTCCTTGGTGCTGATTGCCGCCCATACACTAACGTGTGTAAAGTTTGGGAGCTTTAAGTAGTTTAATACTGGTGTGTTCTTCTTAACATTTTACAAACTGAAAAAGCTATTCGGCTACATGTACCAATTCGTACAATGTTCATTAAAATAACGTAGCAGAGAGGGGGCTAATTTGCTATTATATATATATGCCTTCTTTTTTCAGGTGTAATATCCATAGACGGAGTAGACATCAGCCGTGTGCCCTTGACCCTGCTGAGGTCACGCCTGTCAATCATCCCTCAGGACCCCGTGCTGTTCAGTGGCACCATCAGGTAAGTGCCTGTTAAATGTGGAACCTCTGCCAGTAGACCACCTTAGATTTTTTTTCACAATGACTCAAACAATCTTGTCTATAGACCACTAGCAGTTTATAGGCACAATTTTCTGCATTCTGCTCAAGTTTCCACTAGAGACAACAGGGCACAAAATACTTTTTTCTGCATTCCTTTAGGTATGCAGGTGGCATAGAAAATTACCTGCACCAGATACGTTTTAACTATGAACTTAGTACATGGACCGATGCAGGTTAGCTCCAATTTTAGCTGCACTAACCTGCATGCACCCAAGTACATGTGCATGGACCAGTGTAGGTTAGGTGCAGGTACATATCAGAAATACCTGTACAGCTCCAATTGTACCTGCACTAACCAGTATATACCCAGTACGTATACATGGACCAGTGCATGGACCAGACCAGGTAGACATCAGAAATACCTGCACAGGCTCGATTTAACCTGCACTGCGGTGCATATACACCCAGTATTTCGAGCATTGACCGTGAACTGATTATGCTAGTAACAGATTGAAAGACTTTGTTATTTGTTTGTCCAGGTTTAACCTAGACCCTGAGGCTAACAGTGATGATGAAGAGTTATGGAGAGCCTTGGAGATCGCACAGCTCAAGACTCTGGTGACAGACATGCCCAACAAATTGGGTAAGTGACTAGAGTCATCAAAAGGTTTTTCAAATGTGTATCAATGAAAATCTACTGTACACACAGTAAAATCATTGCCTGAGGATAAGGGATGTCGAATTATTTATTGAGAAAGTTAATATCGAGATGGTGATACTGAATGCTCTCTTTCCACTCTCCAGATGAGATGGTAACGGAAGGTGGAGAGAACTTCAGTGTTGGTCAGAGGCAGGTGAGATGAGACCCTGGGGTCTACCGTTTTTTTTTTTAATGTTCTACATTCTAGACGGATAATAACGTTTTAATTGGCATGAAATGCAAATGTCATGTTTTGCAGCACCAGTTGTTAGCTGTTAAGGAGGTCACATGTGTAGTGTTCTCTCCAACACTCAAGAATACTCAATAATGAATCTCACACCGGAGGAGTTTTCATGACTGTACTCTACTGTGCTCGTATATACAGTGAGGTAGGAGGGCTGACTCAACATCTGGAATGTGTTATACTGCGTGGGCAAGGTTACTGCGTGGGCAAGGTTGCGGGGTGGCTAACTCTAAATCATTGACTTGTTTCACATCACTACATCCCTCCTTTCCTTAGACTTGCATTATACAACAACTATAGAATTCATGCATTACCTTATTTGTTAACTTCATGCATTACTCTACTTTATGATCTCTTTACTCATGCAAGTCTACTCATGCAGTATATAGTCCATTCTCGTAGTATCTTTTCCAGTCCGTTGTTTCTGTCGAAACTCAAATCATTGTCCGTTCAGCTCTGTTATTACAGGGTCAGTCTATCTGGAGGTTTCACGTTCCTCCCCGAACGAGTCACGTAAGTGCCTGTTGTCGGTGCACTTATCTTCTCAGTCTCTGGCATTCTCTCTGGTTGTCCTGTGTCTTCTCCGGCGTTGGTGTTTCCCTCAGAATCGTTGTCTTCAGGTTCTGCGTATTTCTTAACGAACGATGCGTTTCGTTTGATGATTTTCCCTTCTGGATCCTGCACCGTAACTTCTCCTCCGTTCTTATGTATTACTCGACATGGACTCGTTTGGTAGTTCGGTGAGAACTTGTCTTTCTTCTCCTGTCTCAGCAGAACATGATCTCCCGGTTCTAGGTTGTTCTCGACGGCCTTACGCTTCTTGTCTGCGTATTCTTTCGCCGTTAGTTTTCTCCCATAATCCCGGTCTCGGATTTCCTCGTTCATCAAGGTTGTCTCTCTCGGTAGTTCGGGTAGCTTTGACTTCATCTCCCGCCCGAACATTAGCTTGTACGGTGTCTCGCCCGTCGTCACCTGCGGGGTTGATCTGTATGCTTTCAGGAATTTCTGGATTTCCTGTCTCCAATCCTTCCCCTCGATTCTCGCGATCTTGATGGATTTCAGCAGGGTTCTGTTCTGCCTCTCGACTTCACCGTTAGCTTGCGGCCATAACGGCGTCGTTCTCCGGTGTTCAATGCCTTGTTCCCGGAGGTATTCTGTGAACTCTGTGCTGACAAACTGTGGACCATTGTCCGTACGCAATGTTGAAGGATTTCCGAATCTCGCGAAAATAGGGTCTAGTGCCTCTATTACCTTCTTGCTTGTCGTTGTCTTCATGATCGCGATTTCATAGTATCGACTGTAGTAATCCACCACGACTAGGATGTGTTCCCCGGTGGGTAACGGTCCTAGTAGATCCGCGCTGCAATCTTGCCACGGTCCTTCTGGTGGTTTTGTCCTCATCATCGGTTCTGGTGGTTGTTGCTCGGACACCACTTGGCATCCATGGCAGCGTTTGCACATCTGCTCAACGTCTGCTTCCATCTTCGGCCACCATACCTTCGTTCGTAGTCGATTCTTCGTCTTCTGGACTCCTTGATGTCCCTCGTGGGCCAACTTAAGAACTGTTTTCCGCAGCTCTCGCGGTATCACGATTCGAGTCCCTCGTAACACCAGTTGCCCATACGTACTCAACTCGGTCTTCACATGACCGTAAGACGGGATTGGACAGTTTTCCCACTGTCCACTGTGGATACACGTCTTCACTTGCATCAGCTCTGGGTCCTTGGCCGATGCCTGCTCGATTTCTCTCGGTGTCAGACTCACCGGCGTGCTTGCCTCAACGATGGCTCTGACGTAGTCGTAGTCTTCTCCTCTCTCTCCATTCTTCGACTTGTTGTTCAGCCTGGATAGTGCGTCCGCAATATTCGTCTTCCCGGGACGATATACGACTTTGAAGGGATAGGCCTGAAGCCTCAGCACCCATCGCTCTACCCGCGCGGACGGCTTCGACGTTCGCGTGTAGATATGCTCTAGTGGACGATGATCCGTCTCTAGCTCGAACTCGCGTCCGAACGTGTATAGGTGGAATCGTTCACATGCCCAGACTAGCGCTAACGCTTCCTTCTCTGTCTGGCTGTATCTGCGTTCAACTTCCGACAACTGTCGAGACGCATACGCGATCACTCGCCACCTCTCCTCTTGAAGCTGTAACAACACTGCACCCAGTCCTACAGGTGAGGCGTCTGCCACGATACGCGTCTTTCCTGTGGGTGCGAAGTACGCCAACGTCTCCGTACTTGTGATTCTCTCTTTCAACCTCTTGAAACTCTCTTCCTGCTCTGAGTTCCACTTGAACTCTACTCCCTTTCGTGTAAGCTTCTGTAATGGTTCTACCAATGTTGCCAGATCTGGTACAAACTTCGCCACGTAATGTACCAGTCCTAGGAACGACCTCACTTCTCCAGCCGTCTTCGGAGCCTCTGCATCTCGGATTGCTGCTATCTTCTCATCGCTTGGCTTGACCCCGTCCGGCGTAACTACGTGTCCAAAGAACGTTAACTTCGGTACCCGGAACAAGCACTTCTCAGGGTTTACCGTCAAGCCAGCCTGCTGGATCTTATCCAGGGCGTGATGCAGTCTCTCGTCGTGTTCCCGATTTCCTCTCCCGTGGATGATGACATCATCTGCGATGTTTGCTACTCCCTCACACCCACGGAGAACTTCTTTGACCAGCTGTTGGTACTTTTCGGGAGCTGATGATATCCCGAACATCAGACGTTTGTACCGGTAGAGTCCTCTGTGTGTCACGAAAGTTGTGATGTGGCGGCTCTCCTCCTTTAGTGGCACCTGGTGAAAACCCCACTTCAGGTCCAGCTTGGAGAACACTGTACTGCCATTCAGGTCATGTAGCACGTCTTCTACCGTCGGGATCGGCTGTCGTTCTCTCACTATGGCTTCATTTGCACGTCTCATGTCGACACACACGCGTATGTCTCCATCCTGCTTGGGTACTACTACTAGCGGTGAAACCCAACCTGTTGGTTCCTCCGGGACAACTTCTATAATGTCCATCTCCAACAGTTCGTCCAACTTCTTGTCTACTTTGTCTCTCAAACCATATGGCACCCGTCTCAATGGCTGTGCTATTGGTCGCACCGTCTCATCAATGTGTAGGGTCACCTCTCGCTCCTTTAAGAGTCCTACACCTGTGAACGCATCTTTGTATTTCTCACGCTCCTCTGCCGTCAGACCTTCTTGGAGGATGTTTACTTGACCCGTCTGCACTGGGCCAACTCGCAGCACCCCCAACTTCTCTGCTGTTTCCTTACTCAGCAGATTTCTTCCAGGTCCATCCATCACCACTACTTCTGCCTCTGTCACAGCTGCATTTGATAGACAGACTACTTCTGCCTTGAATGTCCCCAATGTGGGTAGAGGTTTGTTGCTTCCATAGGCGTAGAGATTCTTGCCGCCTTTCCTCTGATCTCTGACCTCTACTCTCTGCCCCTTCAAACTCTCCCAGGTTCCTTTGCTGATTATGTTACATGTAGCTCCTGAGTCGATAAGGATGCCTGCTACACCTACACCTCCAATCTTCACATCTATGGTGCCTGCTCTCTTCTGAGTCCGGCCATCCATACTGAACACATAACGATCGGTCCCTGGGTCTGTTTCTTCTTCTACACTGTTACACGTGGAGCCAGACTTCTTGACTTCTTGACCTCTCTTGCCCCGGCACACTGCTCTAAAGTGGTTCAGCATTCCACAATTACTACACTTCCTTTCCCGGGCTGGGCATCTGTCATCTTTAGCAAAATGATCTGACCTTCCACAGGCAAAGCAACTTCCTGCCGCCTTGGGTTTCCTAGACGCCCCCGGTCCCAGGCCCCTTGAGCTCCTTGGGAGTGTTTTCTTCCTGCCGAAACTAGGAGGCCCTCTATGGGTTGTACCCCTGAAGTCCTTCTTATGCCCCATCGACATTGCATTAACCTGACCAGTCATCTCCTGTAACTGTCTCCCTACAGCTTCGTGTGCTCTTGCAATGTCTAACATGTTCCCTAGCTCGAGGTCGCCTCCCCTCTCAAGGAACTTCCTCTTCAGCTTGGGGTCAAGCCCTGCTTCTATGACTTGATCTCTGATGTGCACATCTACTTGGCCCCCGAAATCACAAGTAGATGCTTTCTGCCTTAACCGACACACCAGATCATCTATCGTCTCCCCATCTTGTTGCCTAACTTGTCGAAACATGTGCCGCTCGAATGCTACATTCGACTTTGGAATGAAATAGGCATGGAGTACACCTACTGTTTCGTCGTACTTCTTCGTGTCGTCTTCTTCTTTCACTTGCGTGAAGTAGATGTCTTGCACCGCTGCTCCTGCGGTGTGTAGCAGTAGCGCCTTCTTCTGTCCGTCGTCTTCTACCCCCTTTCCTTTAAGGTAGAGTGCGAAGCCTCTCTTCCACTTCTTCCAACGGACTGCTACTGAACTTGAGTCGCCTCCGACTGCAAACGATGGCAGGCTTCCTATGTCCCCTCCGATCTGGACAACTGCCGCCTGATTCCCCTCCTCCGACATGGCTAAATTATCCTCGTCGCCAGTTGTAGTGTTCTCTCCAACACTCAAGAATACTCAATAATGAATCTCACACCGGAGGAGTTTTCATGACTGTACTCTACTGTGCTCGTATATACAGTGAGGTAGGAGGGCTGACTCAACATCTGGAATGTGTTATACTGCGTGGGCAAGGTTACTGCGTGGGCAAGGTTTCGGGGTGGCTAACTCTAAATCATTGACTTGTTTCACATCACTACAACATGTATATAACAAAAAATAGGGAGCGCTTCCAGAGATCATTATTCATTTGACTTTCTGGGACGGGCTTGGTCGAATCATAATATCGACTCATAACCTGGCATAAGAACGGTGTGGAAACACACAACTAAGCATTACCTCCATTCTACATAAACTTACTCTTCACAACCCCCCTTACTCTCATCATCTACAGCTGTTCTGTTTAGCCCGGGCGTTTGTCCGGAAATCACGAATCCTCATCATGGACGAGGCCACGGCGTCTGTTGACATGGAAACGGTAAGGGTCAGGGGTAAAGGTCAGTGTCAAGATGAGAGGTCAAGATAAAGTGAATGGGAAAAAAAGCATGCAGTTACTTCCGCATCTGCATAGCTGGTATATTTACCCCGTTCAAGGCAGCATCTGGCTATAATACACTTTACGACATGCCCCACCTAACCTTTGCACAATGTCATATATCTGCCTAGGGTTGCTCAAAGCTATAAAGTTACGGTGGCCTTACTTAACTTGGTGGTAACGACTTCCACTCTAAGATAGTTCTTGGAAAAACAATTATAGCAAGACTATACTAAGTACAGAATCAATGGTGGAATGTGCATAGATCTAATTTAGTTCTTTCTACGCTTTCTTGATGCAGAATGATGTTTTTTGTTTGTTTGATTAGCATCTCTATTACCTAGCAGTCATTTACAATGTTTACACGATTCTTTTTGGTAATGATGAAAAAATCAAAAGTCAAGTAAAAATTAATCACCAACTGAAAAGTAGCAGTATACGGACAATGGCACACCAATGTCCAAATGTTTCTACTTGTCTTCTCCAGGATGCAGTTCTACAAGATGTTATAAAAGTGGCTTTTGGAGACAGAACGGTTATAACTGTTGCTGTAAGTATACTGCCTGTTATCTGGGGAATCACGTGCACGCATGTATAATGACCATGAATCAGTTTTATAAACATCTTAACAAAATAATCTATAATAAAAATCAAGCAATTAGAAAATCTAGAAAATTTGTTACCTCCTTACTTACTAGCTACAAAATGTATTTTGGTTCAAGATATTTTCCAATATTTATCTCCTCTGTCGGTAAACCAATTAGGACATAATGCCTACCAAGAAGAAAAAGAATCAGTACCAGATAATATGTCTGCAAAGGCTAGACTTAGTGCAACCTTTGTATACACACATATATATATATGGTTATACTTGCTCACTAAAAAAATGACAGATACATCTACTTGTAGTTTCCAATTCAATTCATGTTAATGATACCACATACCATTATCTAAACGTCCCCCCTCCACACACACAGCACCGGATAGCAACCATCCTGAACTCTGACCGGATCCTGGTTCTGGACCAGGGGAAGTTGGTGGAGAACGACTCACCAGAAAACCTACTGAAGAACCCAGACGGTCTGTTCACGGCCATGGTCAAGGCCAACAAATAACACCTGTGGCGCTTAGAAAACTTTCTACAACATTCCATTTATTTTTTATTATTCATCATTACACAGCAAAACTGTAACAAGGACAGTGTGGCGCTGCAATCAACTTTCTTTCTTACTTTATTGGCAATGACAACAAATCAATACACAGGTTATCAAATCAGTGCTGACTGGTATTAGATAACCCACAAATAAAAACGTGGAGACAAACATCAAATAAAGAAATCTACTATAAGTATTTAGTAACTTAATAACTTATCTTATCATCGTCAAACAAAAAAATCCAATCAACATAATTATAAATACACAAATCATCTTCACTCACTCAAACAAGCTTTGAAAAACCCTCCGATAAACGAACCTAGCCCCCTGTAGTAGTTTCATTTAGTGTTTTTCTCTTATTTTAACTCATACCGATTATTATCATTATTGCACTGTATTTATAGCTTACATCACCTTATTTCATTGTCATTAATTTATACCGTCATTATTTGATTATCCTTATTATATTATTTCCATTTTCTATTTATTATTTCCATTTATTAATTATATTTAGTTTTGTATAGTTTAGAGGAGGAGGGCCTTTTATAAGCATTGTATGATTCTCCCCTCCTCCTGCACCTGTATAATCCTTGTTTTGTATCATTATTGTCTGTTTTGTTTATGAGAAAAAAATAAAGGAAAGATAAAAAAAGTCAACATAACAGTGCACCGGTGTCCCACCACTCCCCATTACTAAAGCTAACCAGGTTTACTAAAAGTTATTGAACAGTGACTTCTATAACTGATGGAAGAGAAAAATGTCCATCCAGTTCCAATTCCGGTTATTGTTAACCTGTTTTATTTCTATACTTGTTTGATGATTGTAAATTTCGGGCAAGCCCGGAAAATTCTAGAAACATCTCTCATCTATCTCAAAGTGTATACAATCAACACATTGCAGCACTAAAATGGGTTTTTATGAAATTTTATTATTGAAAACAGATTGCAAATGTATAATGAAATGATAGTCATAGATATGAGTTATGCATAGTACTCTGATATATCATATGGCAATTTAGCTACGTTATTGCACAGTCGGTGATTTTGCATAGTCAGTGACTTCATCCATTCTTCTAAAAACATCCTAAAACATCACATTCGTAAGAAATTTGGGTCAAAGAATCCTATTAGTAATATAAATTTGTCTGAAAAATATTAATTTTGGAGACGAGGGTCCTCAAATAACAATAGATACAATGATCGATTCGCTGTGTAGTTAGTAGGTAAAGAATATAAATATCAATTGTTATTCTTGGCAAGGATCTGCCCTAGATATGGTTTGACCTGAACTAAGGTTCTGTCCGTCTTTCAAGTACATGTTTATGTGTGAAGCACAGATCGGAAACAAACAGATCGGATAAAGTTACTTACTGATAACTCGAGATATAAGCACAGTGAATATGGCAGTGTGTCAGTCACAGAAAGACGTTAGTAAAGAGAATTGTCTTTCTTTTTAGAAAGAACGGGGTCTAATATTATGCACAACATAGCGGCTACTTTGCTTATAATTTGATATCTCAACATCAGAGGACAGAAAAAGATATTGCATAACAATATGTACATAACTTCTATCAACACAAGTAAGTTTCAAACAAATTATTCTTTTTTCAATAAGAATTGGTTGCATAACCGTTCCCGTTGTTACCAGTTGCAAAATGTTGTAATCAAAATCAATCCACGTTCATTACGTGTATGATGGTAGAACTACAAAAAAGTTCAATACAAAAACCTTATACATGGTAAAATGGTTGAAACTTTAAATAAATGCAATCATTGACATCAATCTATTTACATGAATTATACTGGTTTAGCGGTCGTCTTTGATCTTATTTTCAAACAAATCATTCTAAAGTAAGTTTCAAACAAATCATTCTTTTTCTTAAGAATTGGATGCATGGCCGTTCCCCGTTGTTACCAGTTGCAAAGTCAACCTACTTTCATTACATGTATGATGGTAGAACTACAAAAAAGTCCAATAGTCTTTACTTTATGCATGGTAAAATGGTTGAATCATTGACTTTAATACTATTTACATGAATTATGCTGGTTTAGTGGTCGCCTTTGGTCTCAATGTCAAAAACAATGATCGTAACCTGTTGTTTATTAGAAACAATTTACTTTTACGTTGGTGACCCACAAAAAAGGCAATGCCAACCTTAAAATACATCTAAAACAAATAATAAGACAGCTAATGTCACTACGGTGCATGCAATTTAATCATAGCAATCAGGGTGGTCAATATCATTGTACAGCCGCACAATGTATGCAATACATGACTTGGTGACAGTAGATCTCTGGCTTTGCCTGTATACATCTAAACCTGTGTCTCAGTAGAATGAACCTGGCCATAGCACTCGTTTGTCTCATCACAGTTGCAGTAGTGTCGAGTGTTGCGGACTGTGGGAGCGACGTTCCTGCGGGGCGCGGCGTTCCTGGTCTCCTTGGCGGCCTGAGCCAGCCGCTTCTTCCGCTGCTGTGCCGCGGCGACCCGGCCCCTCCCCTCTGTACCCCGCAGGCCGGATGTTACGCTGACGAACACCGCCGCCGTGAAGCTGAGCAGCAGGTACAGGATGGTGAAGTTGGCGACGAAGAGGAACAGCGGACCCACCGTCTCGTTGGCTGTGACGAGCGCGTCATAGCTGATCTCCTCCCAGGGTATGAACGCCAGGCTGGCGGTGGCTCGGGACAGGGACCGGAACCCTGCCACGTACGGGCAGAACAGGAGATGTCCTGGAAAGGAAAAAAACCACAAATGTTAGACTTAAACTGGTACGAACTGGGTGAGCAAGCTATCACCTTTATATTGGAAAGCTGAAACTGAAATAACGAACATGAATGAATGAATGAATGAATGAATGAATGAATGAATGAATGAATGAATGAATGAATGAATGAATGAATGAATGAATGAATGAATGAATGAATGAATGAATGGATGAATGAATGCATGAATGCATGAATAGATAAACACTTTGCTCAGCGCATATGATCTTACCTGCAGATAACTTACCAACAATTATAGTTTTTTTTTTACAACTAGGTAATTCTAAGAAGATATTTAGGAACATAGGAAAGAACATATTGTTCTTGTTCCAATATAAAACATAAACTACAATATAGACAACAAAAATCACAAGCCCACTCACCTGACATACTGAAACCAGTGACAATCAGAAGAAAGATGATGAAGCTCCCGAGCAGTTTCATACGAATCTTGATCAGGACATCTGTGGGGAAAAAGAATGAGTTATAGATCTTGTTTGTATAAGTGATCTCAAATCAGTTTATAATTAGCTTACTGATGAAGGCCTAGCCTACTACTAGTTGTGATAGAAAATAGTAGACGATGTTTATAATCTATACAGGTTGATTGTGCCTGGTAAATTCATAGTCCCCTTGCTATTTTTTAAGTACGATGAGCAGCGGAGACAGTACAGGACTAGCGTTCTAATCGGGTATGCATGTTAGGTAAGCGACTACAATCAGAATGACAACTTCCGATCTCATGGTTCAAAGGCAGCATCACTAACCACTGACTTGTGTGCAGGTTTTGAATACTGAGTGGTTTATTGGCCAAACATTACCCTTGCAATCGCTGCCTTTTATAGCGCTGAATTAATGCAGGGTTAACAATGACATAAATACAAATGATACATGTAACATTGGCTCCACACACACTTTTCTGGAACTGTCGCAAGGGTCTGTGCGGCTGCCATTCGAAATCACAAGGTGACCTCAATACGACTTTCCCCAATCGAACCGAAGTTAGGTACCCATTCACACCTGGGTGGAGTGAGGAAACTCGTCCTACACAGGAATCAGTGTACGTTGGAAAATTTATATCTGAATCACTACAAAAGTGACACCATATTGTAAATGATTGATATATCTCTTGAAATACAGAATGTAATAATACTCTTCTTAATTAAGCAAACACAATAGATTAGCTTTAGTATCATTATGGACTGGCTCGTTAGAATTATATTTCAGTATTAGTTAGTGTATGTACCCTTGTTGTTTCTTTGACATACATTGTACCAGCTACAGTTGTTGAGCAATAAAGTTGATTTGATTTGTAAAGTGTCTTTTCCAATGGCACAACGTCGGGGCGCTAGTTCAGACATGTCGCGGGTACAACTTAGGATCGAACCCGGGTCTCGCCGTTTCAAAGTCGTACGCTCTACCACTACACCACAGAGTACTTACCCAGATACGTGCGGACCCGTGAGCTGACCCTCAGCAGACTGCAGATCTTCACCAGGTTAAACCAGATCACCATGGCGGCCGCAGTGGTAAACTGGTCACTCCAGAAGGCAACACCGAACAGGTCCACAAAGGTGCGGTTATCTGCGAAGAACATATGGAATACACATCATTTCCCCTTGTACACTAGAACAGCTAGAACTTATTATGTTTACCGAAGGAAAACATATTGTTTTTGCTCAGTTTCCTCCTCTGTTCCAAACACTAACCTCTGACCTAGCCAATGGCCTGATTTGTTGACGTCTATTACCATGGTAACTGGTGTTAGGTTACCTAATGTTGGAATGTTATAGTAGGAGGGATTTAGACTCCTGTCTGACCATATGTATGAATGTATTTGAGTGAGAATCAACAGAGTAGACCATGTGTGCAGGTAAACATTATGCATTTGCTTTGGAAATGTTACCTTTCTAGTTATATTTCAATCCTTACCATGGTATGAATGTATTTTTTACCAGATTTATGTTACCAGATTTCAACTTTGACATCAAACGTAAATGTCACTCTATGCGTGTTTTCTAAGTGTGTGAGTTTTGTAAGCGATGTTTCTAAGTGCATGTGTCTCAATAAGGCTGGCAACATACCTTTCGCCAGTTGCTGGCTGATGAGCGCCTTTGCCTTCCCCGCTAAGACGTCCTTGAACACGGTCGCCACGATGATGTAGATCGACATCACAACCGACGCCACGTCCACGATGGTCCAGACTTGGAGGAGGAACGACGCCCCCTCCTGGCGCGCCATCTTCACGACCCGGACGGCGACCACCACGAGGCTGACCGTGAAGACCGCCTTAGCCACCAGGAGGATGGTGGGCGCGATGCCGGGCGAGGCGAGCGGGAAGGTGGACACGTGGAGCGAGGCGATCGCTCCCGCTGACGGAGGGAACTCGAACAGAACCGACACTGTGCTGAACAGGTTGGCATTGACGTGATACAGGCTCAGATCCAACACAAGAGCGGCCGTGTAGCGGTCGATCCACCGGTTAGCCTTCAGGACCTTCAGCGCTTCCATCATCTCTGCTTCCGTCTCTCCCAGGCTAACGCTGTACCCAGGTCCCCCGTACGAGCCTCTTGTACCGTGGACGGTACGGCCGAACGATGTCACGGGCTTCGACTCCGGAAAGGACGCGGCGGCTTCCCCTGCCACACCGCCGTACGACTTGACACACGTCTTGTATGATTTGTTCAGGAACTTTGCCTGTACGTCACAGTTTGCTGTGAAATGGAAAGAAAATCATCACGTAATTAAAGGATGAGCCATGCATAGAAGCCATTTAAGCTTCAATCATAGTTGTCAATGTGTTGAAATGTTAATGCATGTATTTATTTATTTATTGATTGATTGATTAATTCACAACCACCACTTAAACACCAGTCTGCATTTTGACCTTTAAGCTTCACCAAGGCAATTATGATTGGTGCAATGTACACTGGAAGCAAAATCTGTAATACTGGTTTCAGTGCACAGTGAACTAGTCATAATTGCCCTGATGAAGATGACTGTCATTAGCCTCTACCAGCCTTCGAGGGGCGGCTGGAAAGAGTACAAATCGGCCAAATATAGAGATAGCATGCCATGGAAGTTACCAAGAAAGGTAACAGTTTGCCACTTTTGGGTGGGGCAAACTGTTCTCTCCAGCAGACCATCTCCACTGGCATGCTACATGCTATCTCTCTATTTGGCCGATTTCTACTCTTTCTAGCCGCCTCCCGAAGGCTAGTAGAGGCTTAACTGTTATTACAAAGGCCGGCTCTTGTTCAACGTTGTTGTGAATAAATAGCTTTGCTATTTCAACATTCAGCAAGTCATTTACGAACTTGGCAAAGTGTTGCAATTAAGATCTAAAATAGATATTAAGTGATTGAGGACAAATGCGCACCTGAGAGTGCCCTGAACTGTCCCAGACGGGCCGGGCCCAGACGGTAGGCCGGCATGTCGGTGATGAACACACGGTCCTCCCAGCCCAGCTCCTCGCCGTTGTAGTGTTGTGTCCGGTACAGCTTACGTGCCAAGGTGCCTTCCATCCAGGGGAGTACATCGTATTGTGTCTGGATCTGGGACATAAATAATTTACTTAAGTTATTGCAGGAGAGAAAACAGGAGAGAATAATGCAGTTTCAAGGTGATAATGCGAAAAAATTCTGCATGAACAAATTTGCCTGATATTGAAATTTTGCAGCAAATTTATTCTTTAAGCCCTAAGCAAGCCAAATCAGGAGTCCTCTTCTGTTTGGAACCACTTAGAAACACCTAGCTATATATAGAGTCAGCCTATAATACAAAACACCCAAACGTTTTCTTTTAGAATCATAGCATATTTGCCTACTAACTTACTACAGTAAAAACCAGAAATCTCACTTTGAGAATCCAGTGTCACTGCACTTTTTGGTGCCTTCAACACTCAGCATTTTAATTTAAAGCTAATGCAGCATAGTGTACCTCATTTATACCATCCGAGAAGCTGTCCTTCAGTCCCTGGTTGACGCCAGCGACGGCGGGACTCCACGTCTCGTGAACCATCAGTAGAGCAGCAGCGATGATGATGATACCCAGCATGCACTGCTTGCCGTTGTGGGTCAGCTGTAGCCAGCCCTTCCTGACAGCACGCTGCTGTTTCAGCTGGTCTGTTTCTTCCTGTTCTGACCAGGCGATCCGGGGACAGTCGGGAAGTGTCTCTGTGGATGAATGTAAGACCTTTATTGTTCATCTCTCAAAGACCTATAACTTAACAGCGAGCAGATTATTATTGGACTGAGCAGAGCACTGATCTCTCTGGCTGTTTACAGCTTAGAGGTACATAACCAATATTTTGTCAAAAACTTCTCTGTTACATAGCGAATCATAATGACCCCGGGGGGTCTTCACGCTTCGTTGAAAATGGAAAAATCTCAAGATTTATTCCAAAGATCTCTGTAAACAGCCATAGGCATTTGTCCAAAGTGCTTTGCTCAGTCCAATAATAATCTGCTCGCTGTTATATGTACAGGTATTGTATGACCTACTAAACTAGGGAGCCCAAACTCACACCACTTACTCCTAGCTCCCAAGAACTTTCCACTACTAAACGAAATCACGAAACGTTCGCTTCCCTTTACAGATCGTCGACTTATGCTGTTGATATATATATGAACCTCTAGACCACAGCTACTCCACGTTCGTACAGCCAAAAACATAGCTGCATTCTTGGCAAAGGTAACAAATATTTGGAAGTATAGACAAGAATCCATAAGTTAAAACATACATAATAGACAAAAGTGTAGTATTAAACTAATTGAGTAAAGTCAATCTCTTCGACTTCTTTGTACAGGCGTGATGTGATAATGATTTTTATGCAAGGTCTTAGCCCTTCAAAAATGCAAATTAATAATATTCAATGAAGCTACAACACCACACTTCCGTATACCTGGCAGAACATTTTAACGATTACAGTTGATTGTATCTATCTAACAACGGACTAAATACCTGTCTGTTAACCTTTGAACAAACCTACACCAGAAAGTTCCAATTAGTTATTTGGTTAAACAAGATTTCTCAACACAATTGCCATATCTATATAATCTACAGGCTATAAGAAAAACTACCCAATAGCAGAAGACAGCAATCGGCAGAACAATATCACTTTTGTAGCATAATAATAACGACAAGAGTGTGTACGCACAAGGGATGGAGTATTTAATACTTACCGTCAACCGACTGACTCTTCCCCGCCTCTACATCCTCGTCCTTGTCGTTCTTGTCGTTCTCGTCCTTCTTCTTCTTCATGCGACAAGCACAGAGGATTGTGGCTCCGAGGGTCAGGAGTACAGCCTATGACAAAAATATGCAACAATGACAATTAGGTCCATTTATTTGTTTATTTGTTTATTTATTATTTGCACGTATAAAAAAAGTTACAAAATTAAACAATAACAATAAGAGAATATGCGGGGCGGTAGGCCAGAAACCTAGGTGGTTTTAAAGGGCCTACCCCAAACAAAGGTAACTATGATACATGACAAAACATATTTGAATTGAACATAAAAATTAAACAATGACATAATTGATTAATTAAACAAAATCAAGACACAGAAATAATAACTGAAGTGTGTAAACAAAAGTCTTATACATGTAATTCAGGCCGCTGTTGCAGAAATAAACTGATTAGATAATTACCATAAAAAATAAGGATTAAAACAAATGATTGACAAAACAAGGAAAACAAAAAAAATCAGATTGTAGTAGTACTGGCCAGGGGTAAACGTCTAATTTACCGATTACACGTTTCAATACATTATATTCTATTTGTTGATGATAATAGTAAATAAATCAGACCCAACAGTACATGTACGATCAGAAGTAGAACTAGTTTTAATGTTGTGAGTTTACCCTCATGTTTGCTGCTAACTACTAGAGAATTATTTTATAATTTACATTGCCTTGCAAGTAATTCTTGGGATAAAAGTTACAATATAAAGTGTAACCTAAATGTAAACGCAAATAAATGGATTTGGCTCCTCTTTGAGAGCATTTGACAAAAGCAAAAACTAATAGATGATATCTTATAATAAAAGTTGTCGTCTATAAGAATGATCCAATCCACATAAAAAAAGGATTGGGGTGATTCGAGCATCAAATCGTTTCGAAATCTATCAAACTAATTCAATCTTTGCAATCGGAATGTCCAAACTCATTTATTTTTTTTAGAAACGATTCACTTTAAAATCACAAAGATGGTTGTAGGAGATGACTGTGTAATACCTGTGCCGGTTGGACCACCACCATGGACTGTAGGAACGACAGTCCGAACGCTGTGAGCCACTGGATGGACTTGTCGCTGCCCCACTCCATACTGTACAGCAGCAGGAAGAACCCGGAGGCCAGGGTGGCCAGGACCAGCAGCGCCCAGCCGACGTACAGGAACCAGTAGGGCAGCTTCGCGCCTGACGACTTCGGAGCACCCTGGGATATACATCGAGAAAACATCACTGTCTACATTGAAATAGATATGCGAGGGTTGAGACTCTGAACGAGAAAAATATCATGCGTTGTCTATATTGAAACATATATGTTAGAATTGGAACAGTTGGAACTAGACCATTTGTACTATTGTTTGTGTGAAGATCTTGGATAATAGGGTACAGCTTCAAATACAGATGATACAACAATCCGTACGATCGCAATGGACCCGGTATGTCTTCTATCTGCCTTATTAAGTAACCTAGACGATAGACTCGAACGTTAGATTGGCCCCAAGACCGAAAAGTTTAAGGTTCTTTATATACTATATAATCAATGTTAGCCTTACATACTCACCCATCTGTATGCAATAAATGTAGTGTAGCACCTCTGTAGAATTTTAGTGTTAATACGGCTCGCGTAAAACTACATGTACTGCACTTGCCGAGAATGTACGTACAAATAAACATCATTGTAAGTGTCAATATATCATAATAATATGATAACTGTTAAACTTTTATTGTACCTTTGGGCGGCGACGACCGAAGATCTGTGCGATGATGAAGTTGATGGGGAAAACTTGGAGAGTGGTCATGAGACTGACCCACAGGGTGTCCTCAGTCAGCTGTACAAATAAAGGTTATCGTGAATAATTTCATTAGGTTAGTGATTGATGGGATTATAGCAAGGCCTTTTATTTACAACCACGTGTTTACCAAGAGCTGACGTTGCGATGACCTTTCATTATTCTCATTAGGGTAACTACGACTCATTCACTGTGCACTAAAGGTAGGAGTGACATAGTAATACATTAAAAAGCTTCAGGGCACAGTGACCCAGTAACATATAGCTTCAGGGCACAGTGAACCAGAAACTCCTAACTTTAGTGGTTATAGTGACCCAGTAACACCTAGCTTCTGGGCAAGGTGAACCAGTAACACCTAGCTTCTGGGCAAGCTGAACCAGTGACACCTAGCTTCTGGGCAAGATGAACCAGTAACACCTAGCTTCTGGGCAAGGTGAACCAGTAACACCTAGCTTCTGGGCAAGCTGAACCAGTAACACCTAGCTTCTGGGCAAGCTGAACCAGTAACACCTAGCTTCTGGGCAAGGTGAACCAGTAACACCTAGCTTCTGGGCAAGCTGAACCAGTAACACCTAGCTTCTGGGCAAGGTGAACCAGTAACACCTAGCTTCTGGGCAAGGTGAACCAGTAACACCTAGCTTCTGGGCAAGGTGAACCAGTAACACCTAGCTTCAATGCACAGTGAACCATTTAACACCTTAGCTTCAGTTCACAGTAAACCAGTAACACATAGATTCGGGGCACAGGGAAACAGTAACCCATAGCTTCAGTGCACAGTGAACCAGTAACACCTAGCTTCAGGGTACAGTGAACCAGTAATACATAGCTCAGTGCACAGTGAATCAGTAACCCATAGCTTCAGGGTATCGAAGCAGACGGTCATCGAAACGTCGGTCCTTGTTAAACAAGTAATTGTGAATAAAAACTTTGCTATCCTATTGGTTACCAGACTTTTGGCGAAAAGCATTCTTACATGTAACGTCAAGACTTGGACATAGTAGCAATATTTGCATGGCCATAAAATAATGACCGGTCACACAAGACGCACAGATGACAATTCTTAGGGTGGAATCAGTCATAGTATGATGTCTTGTGGATATTATAAAACGGAAATCATACGTTTTTACCATTTTCTACTAAATCTAAAGATACCTAAATCGGAATTATGTCATAGTAATGTGGCGCAAACATTATGAAACAAATACGTTTAGCATTTCTTCGTTATCACCAAGACTGTAATTAACGTGGCGAAAAATAAAATACCTCGACAGGCCCGATGGAGACCACGGCGCTAGACGTCCCCTGTTCGGTCCCGCGGAACCACATGGCGCTGGTTACCATCTTACAGTACAGCAGGCAAAGGCAGCATGACAGACGCTAAAATAGTCAGAAATACAGTACGTATTATATCTCGCAGCATAATTTTATTGCCGAACGAAGCAGCTGGTTACAAAATATTTTAAAGACAGTGATAACTAAATATATAAAAGTGTGAGCATATCCTTTCAACAATATGTGATAATAGAAAAGTTGCATGCAGTGTCCTACAAGACTATGTGTCCTTATAAATGCTTAGGTCATGTTTTAGAACCAGGACCCGGCCGAGCTAACAGTCCATATCGGTAATCATAGTTGCAAATTAGAATTGAAATATTTTGGTGTTGTTGTCTTTTATATCATACGTTCGTTCCTGGAAATTGCTGGCCGACCGGTCCCGGCAATTGTGACCTTAGTGTGCGACAATCACGCGAAGGACTTTGAAGTACAATTTGTTTATTACAATTGTAAGGGATATTTTTCATTGACTTTATTATTGACATACCCATATATTGCTAATTGAAGTCTACTCAACACTAACAGTTCCTAAAAGGTAATTCATTGATGGAGTGTACAAGCATGATTTAACAACAACACTACCTGCACGCGGGAGAAGTAGCTCCTGGCGCGTGACGTCACCACGGAGAGCCAGACGTGCCCGTCCTTGAACTTCTCCCTCAGCTTGAGGCTAAAGCGCTGACCCAGGGACACGTCCGTCTCCGCTGTGGGGGGCATTGTCCTCCGGAGACAGCCGTCCCCGTGCTCCACCCCCAGCCAGGAGTCACACACGAACAGGGTCCTGCGGAGGATAGAAAAAAGGTCGTGTGGCGTAAAAGTAGCATGTAAAGCTCGGAACCAAACGGTCTCGAGTTCGAATCCTGCCATGTCACCGATCCTGTGCCCTTAAAGGGAAGGCTCTTAACACTCAGGGGTACCTAGGCAATTCATGTCCCTTTGGACTCTAATTATACTAAATTCGTTTCGTATAGAAAGGTACGTCCAAATCTAAGCCAACTTCTGCCGTACTTCAGGTAACCTTGTTAGGTGGTGGTCCGGGGATCAGGAAGGTTCTGAATGTGTGGCATCTAGAATGTGACAGGGGCTGTGCCTGAATAAATTTATAAAATAACCTGTTTGAGTTTATTGGGATCCACTGAACCTGTGGTTCTTTAATGATGACAGAAACGTTTTTTTTCTTGAACATTTACAAGTATCTATTGCAGAGGATCCGTAATTTTGAAAGAATCTAGAAAAGACCAAAGTTGGCTTCAATGCCTTTTACAATGCATTCTGTCAGAGGGTTCCTTGAGAAAAACAAGTTCTCGTCTTAAACAGATGGAACAGGTGTGGTACCTCTTGAAGGTCTGCAGGTCGATGACCTCCACCCGCTCCAGGCACCAGGAGGCATGACGGCCCTGCCCGGAGTTGTCGTGCCACACGGCCAGGCTGCCCGGCTCGCCTACAGGCTCCGGGCTGGTCAGCAGGAACGTGTCTACACTTCCGCTCTGGAAGGTCTGGAAAAAAAAACACAGCGATAACACAACAATGATAGAATGGCAAAGTTGTGTATTCACAATAGCTCTTGTTAAAGAAATGATCGCGATTAAGAACTTTGCTATTCACTTAATGAAATAAACCCCAGATCAGCAACAAGAGCTGTAAACTGGACACCAAAAGGGAAGATGGCTGCATGTAGGGAGACCCAGGACTATAGGACAGTAAACACTTGTTTTGTGTGAAATTTGTAATTTTTACAAACCTCAGGAGATGTGAGTCGTGAAGCAATAGATACAAAGGTGCATATATAGGACAGTTTCCTATTGATATGTTACAAACGAATTCATGAATTGTAAAGACAGGGTAGAAATTCCCCTGAAGACTAGGCTATACATACAAGTCTGTATAGGATTAATCTGTAATCAATATCTAAAACCTTACAGTTGATAAGATTACTAGAATTGTGGTACAGTTGCCATGCAGTTTTCATTTTCATATCAGCGAGCCTTACCACGCCGTCCTGCTGGAACGCCCTCGGCCCCGTGCTGCCCTCATCACCGGTCAGCTGGAAGGAGACCTTCGACCTGGTCCCGGCCCCCCAGTCGTGCCCGGTGTCCACCCTCATCAGGTACCGGTAGCGATCGTTTTTGCGGTTGCCGTGTACGTTCTTAATTTTCCACTACATAATACAAAAGAGAAACAATCGAAGGCGAGGTCACGTTTACGATCGGTGTACGATCGCAACTTGCTCTTTGTCGGTGGCTGCTTCTGTCACAGCCTGCCTGCAGATTCTATGACATCAAGATAGAGTAACTTATGTTGAATGTAGGCACGGTAGGTGGAAAACTAATCGGAATGAAAATGTGAGAATGTATTTATTTATTAATAATACAGTAGTTGGAAAATTGGTATTCCCCCACGATGAATACATACCCTCTTATCATAAAAGTTCATCTGTGTTGGTAGAAATCATTATAGTAATATGTTGAAATTTCCAGGGGCCACTGTCACCTTTATCAGGATATTATTAAATAATGACCAATTACTTGAAAACGTAATCTCGCTAAAGTTACGGTTACAGACACGTGACCTTATTCTCACGAGACTTTACTGATATGTGACGTGAACAATTGAGCCAAAAGTGTCAGGGAGTGTATTATGATGGTCATCAATTATCCTGATGAAGGCAACAGTGGTCGATGAATATTTGACCTTTGTGTTTGAATAAAGTTCAACATTTTACTACACATACCTTCCTTTGGTCCTTCATATCCTCACGCCTGGCGGGATACAGCATGAAGAGATACAGCCCCATCGTCACTACCATGGTGGTCCACACGGCGTAGTTGTTGACCAGCTCGTCGAACTTGGTGAAGACGGTGTTGAAGTGGATCTTGTTGGGCTCCGTCCGCGCGGAGGTCCCGAAGGCAGTTAGGTGGTTACACAGGCACAGGGTGTGAGTCAGGGTGGATGCGGGGCTCACCTGGAAGTGAAGAAGCAATTTAGTGTGTGTTTAAGGTTTTAGTTATTATCCCAATACAGGTAAGATGCAATGTACAAACTTTGACAATCAGTCGCAACCTTAACAGTTAACATCAATTCACGGTTGTAGTGTATTGTTTGGTAAAGGTGCATCAGCATTTTGCCAGTTGCAGACGATGTCTTTTTCCTCACAGCAATTAAAAAATAGTGATCCTTACATGTATATACTTGTATATACGCCCTTAAAATACTTAGGTGAGGTCAGAGGCTCCTCTGAACTTTTCACGGTTTTCGTTGGATGTTTGGTGAATTTTGCATTAGAATTTTACCCGTTGCAAACAATATGATCTCCGACATAACATATGGAGATTATTATCATTATGTCATCCTCAATTTCACGAATACGCCTTAAATATAACGAACTGTTATGTACAATACAATACAGGTTTCGCGCAGTATGTTCTACAGACGGTGCTATGATAGGTACTTTTCAATGAAATATGTGTATAACAGTTACCCTGCAGCCGTCTCCTTTCCATGAGCCCAGCTCTGCGTCCATTCCCGGATCCCAGAACACACAGGCCAGCCGTGCCACGTCCACCGAGTACAGGCAGCCAGACGGGGGACAGCCTGTTCAGGTGAAAAGAAGTGGATTCCTTGCTTAGACCAGTGAATTGTACGGCAGGTAATAACTTCTTGTACCAGTATACATCAAGTTCATGTTTACACATTATGCAAATTAAACATTACAAATGAAAATGATATTAATCAGTATGTGGCCTTTTGCACTGTTTTAACTTTGAACTACTCTTTGGGCCAGCATTTGCGTTGAATTTGTGCTGGAATCATCTCCAAGCAAGATTGGCAAGACTTATCAAAATTGCTTTACCTCTTAGATACTGCCTTGGCTACTGAAGTTTATGCTTGGACATTAATGGTAGAACATATTACTTGCTTTTGACACATTACCAGTAATCTTTCAAAATCATTGGTATTCGATGTCCCATGTCAAACAATAAAAAAAAAACAGTACTGATCGTGTGTGCCAGGTTGACTCTTTTTGTTAATCTCCAAGCAGGTCCTATAGGGTGGCAAAAGACAGTATCAGATTGGTCAGGCAAAATCCATTCGCCAGAGAGGGTCCAATAGCCACCCAAGTGTCTGCTTGGAGATTTTGGTCGCCTAACCAGCATAGCACAGCAACCGTGCATTAATGACATCTCTTACCGTCCACCCGCAGCCCTACAGTGTACTCCCCTGTACCGTTGTCTCCTGCTGCGTCCGGCTGGAGTATGGTGTAGGCGGTGTGAACATCCTCGTGGGGCGGTGCAGTCCTAGCCATGAAGTCATCCCGGGTAAACTCCTTCCTGTAGATAGAGGCAGAGATGACAGATTATAAGTATTTATAAGCGTATAAAGGCGTACTACAGCAAGAGTAATTGTTCTGATTCTGAAGAATTTTTTTCTGAATCCCAAAAAGTATTTGTATTGACAACTTCATATTTAATTTGGACTAGGCAGCAATTATATCATACTGCATTAATATTCTGGTTTCTTCAACTTAAAGTGTTTGACATCATGGTAGCTCACATACCAAAGATGTCGGAGTACATATTATGATATTCATCATAACTGTTATATGTATGTGTTGTGAGGCTGATATCATGAAAAGATCCTAAAGCTACAATCAGTTCTTCTTTTCTTAAATCCAAATTTGCATTCTACCATCGAAAGGTTTCTTAGGACCTTTGGTTTTATTGGATTGTAAGGATATGGCATCGATGGTCACAAAAGAAATACAAATTTAATACTGTCTTCTTCTTCTTCATTCTTAACAGTAACAGTTGAGACAACGACGTAAACATTAGCAACCGAGATGAACACAACACCATCGACATCCTCAACTGTTAAAGGGGATATGAACAATGCTTTTTCAAGTAGCTTATAGTGCAATCCGGTTTCGCCACAGCTAATAAGGGTACTTACCTGAACTCATGGTCGGTCTCGTTGGGGAAGTCTCCCAGCTTCCCGTACATGACAGCGGCCGGGTAGGGGGCCACCAGGCTGACCGTCACCCCGTAGGTCTGGTTCCTCCTGGCGTTGAAGGTCCGGTACACCATGGTGTCGTTAGGGAACGGCTTGTAGCCGACCAGGTGGTTGTTAGCTGAGGCACTGAGATCAGGGGCGTTCTTTAGTTCTACTGTGATCTCTTCCGGCAGATCCTGCAGTTAGAAACAACACATAGACGATTTCTTTTTTGCTGGTGAATACATTTTCTGGTGAATAACATATCTTCATTGTATTTTGCCACTCGATACATATCTGGAGCTAAGCCAACGCCAATCACGTCAAAATCATCTGAAATCTTACAAACCAATCAACTCCAACAAGGACTGCTGGAAATATATATTATACTTCCCAAGAACAGTTTAGGTCGATTGGAACACATTCGAGCTATACATCTTCACAACAAATCAGTCCCTAACATACAGTCTTCTTTATATAGTGCGCCAGCATGTTTTTGTGTACTATTACAGTCGTGTTCTCCAACAATGATGTATTGTGCATTGGTAGTCACGTGCGCAATGCGTCTGAAAATTTGTATGTTTGTAAGCTCGACGCAATTAAGATGTACATTATACTTCTGCCACGTCGATTGTTATGATAGAACTGAAATTGAACACACTGATATGCCCAAGTACCCAAATACCTGCTATTAAAGTTCAGGGATGCGGTTTTCCTGAGGAACACCTGAGGAATAGGTAATAATTAAAAACTGGCAATACCACTCCCTTTATTGCTTGTGGGGTACCCCGTAAGCAACTAGAAGCAGAACAAGGTGCCTTGCAGTGGCCTGAAAAAAACAATATTACCTTCACTTCAATTTTTCCTCCTCCCGACCCCGGTTGTTTCAGCTCGATGTCCAGGACCGATGACTTGATGTCTCTTGCCGAGTCGCCCCACACGAACGGGTTTCTGTCAAATCCAACAACCTAGGATACATGGAAAAAGTAAAATTCTTGTCACATTCCTTTCATTTCATCTGGTTATCAAGACAGGTAGAAATATCAATCAGGTATGATTTATGACTTTACTTAATTATGATTTTAATAAGTAATATGTAGTATGTGCACGCAATTCAGCCTGTGGCTGCGATGTGAAACATGCCAATTGTACTGTTTATTGTATTTGTGAAATAAACCAATATACATATATATATATATATATATATATATATATATATATATATATATATATATATATATATATAATCAGTATCAAAAGATCAGAACCGATTCATGAAGTAACAGCTTTAAAGCTGACAAAGTTGTAGTGATGTCTTTTGATGAATAAAACAGTTTTCAGACATACGATGTGTACATGTAACAGACATCTACATATATGTGCATCAAAACATTGTTTTTTACGGTTGTATATTATACGTCATGTCATGTGTTTTGGAATCCAGGAAGACTGATTTTGCTGCGCTTTTGCAACTAATCATCATCATCATCATCATCGGTCGACCGTATTGGTCGGGGTTATACCGCCCCCCTTTCGTTAGCTTACTACAAGACGGGGTTTGCCACGCCTCCGTCCGGGTGATGATGTAATCACCATGTGTGGTGATGTAATCACCATGTGGCTGATCATACGGAACAGATGATGATTAGCTGCAAAAGCATACCTTCATGTTTAGCCCTTCAGCAGCTATCCCATGTCTGGACGGAAACATCACTCGTCCAGAATGCGATGAGACAGGTTTCTCTCCCAGCTGTAGCCCTGACGTCTTCTCCAGGACCATTTGGACGGATTTAGATCCCATCTCGACCCGTCCACCGCTCCCCTTACTGTTCAGTAGAGCATCAGCGATGCTGTCCAGGTCCTTCTGTAAGCGCAGGGTTACGTCTCGTTGCTGCAGGAAAAATGTATTTAGAAGGTTAGTATTGTATTATGTTCTATTGCTGTTATTTAATAATATTTTGTAAACATGACTTTATGTTTGTTTTAGTTGGAGATATTATCGATTATGCTACTTACTATGAATTATATGTTATTTTTGTTATTTCATTTAGTATTTATTAATTTATATACATAATGTATGTTTGGGGTTTCCTCCTATGCTAGAAGGCCTTATGCTCCCCTCGAAAAATGAAATAAACAAATAAGAATTATAAATTTATAATGCAAAGAATTTGTACGTTTTATTACTACAGTAAACTGAGCTATGAATATGATAATGATAATATTCTTAATTTTCAAAATTATACCTGATTCCTAATTGCTGGTGTGTTACAGATACAGATTTGCAGTGTAATTGTAAAAGTATCTAAGGAGAGCAAAGTAATACTATACCAATAGAGAACATACAGCAACTGCCTGATCAACTTATACTATTATTATTTAGTATTGTATTGTAGTTATCAACTGTCGTTGGTTGCAGAGGACTTTCGGTGTTCTCATTAAGGCTATGTGAAATCAAAGAAGAGTCTTACGTATGCCCATTGCTTCTCCTGTTTCTGTCTGCGTTTTTTCTCCATCTCTTCACGAAATTCCTGCCGTTTCCGTGGAGGGAGCCGTTCCAGTGTGAGAACGTCCTCCTGCTCTGCCGAGACTGTCCCTGCTCCTCCCGACGCCATCAGAGACGCCACCGTGTCCACCACAGCTGCGAACCAACCATAAACAAGAGGTTTCAGACTTACTCAAAGTATCTCTGGCTTTGTTAAATGTATTGTTAAATGTATAAGTTTGCGAAGTCCCTTCTTAACTCCCCTAATTCCGACATTGGTTACCCCCATCCCGCTCAGACATTTATGGTAGATACCTGAAGGGAGCAATTCAGCTCGACATCCCCTTGACGAAAACAAAGCGGTACAAATTCCTTATCTCGTTGACCTTTTAAATAAACGTTGAAATCTCCCAATACCATCATAGTTTTTAATCCATTTAATAGCAGGTCTATTTTTATAAGTGTGTATAGTTAGTATTTGTTTATGTTTGTACCTAGTTTGTCAATTTCTTTTGTTTGTTCAGCCGACCTTATTGTTTAGTCTGTTTTTAAAGCCTGAGTACGTAATTCAGCGATTTTATACGCTGCCATGTACCTGGATTGTGGTCAAGAAACTATCATTATGTTGTAACCATACTGTTCTAGCCTATTCCCATTGGACGGAATTTTTCTGCTCATGATGGATATTTTGCTCAATCCGTCATATTTGATTGGCAACATCGGTGTGCAAATAGATGAAACAAGACTCATTAAACGATGATTTAATACAGGAAAATAACCGATTAAACTATATTATAGGATGCATTATTACTCATACAATTGTATGACATAGCTTAACTTTGCATTACACCATGATTATACAGTACACATTCCTTGCGACCATCCAAGGCATCTCGGATCGCATACCGGAAATCAACCGAAATCCAATCTCCACCCACTCATTACCAAACCTTGCTCCTCAGGCACATACAAACTCTTACTTACAAAGACATAACTTCTGTCCCAGAAGGAAAATGTCAATTTTTTTTTGGCAATTAAAGTACTTAATATTAATAAAATGACATTACATTGTATTAATTTTGCACGATATTTGGATGTCAAGTGACAGGGAGTTGACAAAACATACCTGACGCCGTCGGAGTGAGTTCTTCCATGCTGGCTCCTCTCAGAACGCTTTGCTTGATGGAATCTGTCATCGCTCCTACTACGTTACCTCCCTCTGCCTATAACAACAACAACGTACATTTAGTTTGTTTCACATTACCGGCAAACCACCTTCAGGCGTAACACACCAGTTTTGGACATGCAAATCAAGCTGCCTAAGACCGGACTGTAAGGTTTGAGCCACTCACACCGGGAAGGACCCAGGGCCTACTCTTTTCGATAAGTGCGGTGGGATCTTTAACGTGAGTGGGGTGTGGCTCTCTCAAAATACGAGACCTCCTTTAAACGTCCTACCCGAGGGACGTCCCTAACCGAAGCTAAGTACTCATTTCAATTCGGCTACGCAGTCGAATGTTTCAAAATGTTAAAAACATTCGTGAGGCGTTCGGGAGGTTCGATCATAGTTGGCTTGTCTTCGACCGTACGTCAGCAAACCACCCGCCAACCATCCAGAAGTAAGTCAGCAGTGTTCCGAGCGTGTTCAAGGATTAAATTTCACTTAGATTTAACCCAAATTCGTTTTGAGTCATATACAAAAGGTAGGCGTGGCCGGAATCTGGTCAGACTGTCTCGAACACCAGCTGACCTGCTCGGCTGGTGTTCGGGGACGAACTCTCGGGATCCATGAAGTTCGTAAATGTACATGTGACAGGGGCTTTAATTGAATTACCTGGGCGTCCAATGGCAGGGTCCCACACAGAGTGATGACCGTATCGAGCAGATTGGCCATCGTGTCTGTGGAATCCTTGACTCCTGATGTCCGTGACAGCCTGGCAAGAGCTGTCATGGCGTCCGTGCAGGTTGTCGACTCGACCTATGACAAGCGAAAATGGCACAATTAGTTTACAATGATCTTAGAATCAAATCTTCTAACTTCAGCAAAAAAGATGCCGTTCCTATAACACAATTGTATCACGTTGGTAAGTGACTGTGTATAAAAATTTCAAGCCGATGTTTTAGTGTCCGTCTGGAAATTTTGTCTGGGCAATATTGACTGATTCTACCCCAAAGTAAACGAAACCAGTCAGCATTGCGCCGAGGAAGGTGTTAGGCGGTTACGGAAACGTTAGCTTGTAAAACCCTTCCTTGTGAATAATATAAAGTCACTTTCATCCAAGTCATGTACAAACCTAATGAAATTATTCACTGCCAACTCTTTGCTATACGTTAGGAGTGGGTCGCCTGCTCCAGCCGAATGTTTCAAAATATTTAAAGTATTCATGAGGCGGTCGGGAGGTTCGATCATAATTGAATGGTTTTCGACCGTGCGTCAGCAAAACCAAAGTCACCAGTGTTAGGGCGGGGCGTGTTAAAGGATCAAATTTGCCTACAATTTAACTCAAGTTCGTTTTGAGTCATATCCAAAAGGTAGGTATGCCCTAAACCTGGCCAGAGTGCTCCCGAACACCAACCGAAGAATTCATGGGACATTCGTGGATGTGTTTAGTTTGTAAACATGACTTTATGTTTGTTTTAGTTGGAGATATTATCGATTATGCTTCTTATTATAAATTATATGTTATTTTTAAATTTATTTAGTATTTATTAATGTATGTACATAATTTATCTTTGGGGTTTCCTCCTAGACCAGAAGGCCATATATATGCTCCCATCGTAAAATGAAATAAACAAATACGAATTATAAAATTAATAATACAAAGAATGTGTACGTTTTATCACTACAAAAAACTGATGGAGCTATGAATATGATAATGATAATATTCTTTTATTAATATTATACCCGATGCCTAATTGCTGTTGTGTTACAGATATAGATTTGAAGTGTACTCGTAAAAGTATATGAGGAGAGCAAAGTAACACTATACCAATGGAGAACATACAGCAACTGCCTGATCAACTTATACTACAGTATATAAGAGTATTGTATTGTAGTTATTAACTGTCAATATTAACTATCAACAAGGGGTGACAAGGGCTTTACCGTTCCGTCCTTTGAGGACCCGTCGTCCGTTCGTTCTGAGTGTGGAAGCAGCAGATCCAGCACTGATGCGGGGTTATCCCTGTCATACTGCAGGTCTGCCAGGGTGCTGATAGTGGACTCAGCAGGAGTGCTGCTCTCACTCAGCGGCTCCTGCAAATCAACACGTTTTTGGCACTGAGTCAAGTAGTACGATGTATATAACAACAGTGGACTATGTTTACCTTCGCCAAGAAGGTTATGATTTCAGGGGCGTTCGTGTGTGTGTGTGTGTGTGTGTGTGTGTGTGTGTGTGTGTGTGTGTGTGTTGTGAGCATGGTAACTCAAGGAAATACTATAATGGTATTCTTTGTTAAGATATTCCTGTCGTTTGGAGTAGAGTGTGATCAACAGATATAATCCATGCAATTTAGGATCCTACTTGCATAATCAGGGGATTAATAGTCATAAGAGTCATACAAGCTAACATCATTTGGCGAAGGTATGAGATCGTGGAACTCTAATTCGTGTATTTTGTATACATATCCTTACTATTTCATATTATAATATGTGTTGTTCAAATGTTTTGTATGATTCTTTTGCTTCAGTCAGTCTCTAAATATTGATCCTATATTTTGTGATACAACAAATGTGGAGTACGTGGGATCCTGTGGTAAAAACTAAACATGGACTACGTATACTCGTTACGTGTTATTCCACTGCATTTGAAGACAAAACAAAACTTCTGTTGTAAATCAAAGGATATTAATTGTAATACCTTAGTCACAGTCGGTGTCGTTAAGGGTCGAGTGGTTGTCTCTTCCGGTTCTACATAAGAAAAAAAAAAACCGTCCAACTTTAAATACACAGTGCTTTTGTTACATCCAACACAAAACTGCTTTGATTCCGTGACTTTGGTAAAGGCTGCTTTGTCTAATGGGCCAAAACCAGTAACCATATTTTGAAGCAATTATAACCTGCAATTTCGAAACACAAGAAAGAAACACAAGCCATATTTTCGATTGCACAATTCCAGTCTTTGTCATTATATATGCTCACCCCTTGACAAAGACTGGAGTTGTACAGCATAAAGCATTATGAAAGAATTTCTACATTATGATAGTAATCATTCAACTGTGCAACTCCAGTCTTTGTCGAATGTTTATGTCCAAACTCTTGTTTTGTAAATTACGGTTCAAACTTCGGTTTTATGGTGGCTTTTAAAAAAGCAAATAAAAGTTTAAGATACGTATTTATACTGGCACATGGAAAGAATGGTGCAATAGCTCAATTGGTAGAGTGCTCGCTTTGTAACCGGGAGGTCGTTAGTTCAAACCCCGGCCGAGTCATACCAAAGACTTTAAAAATAGTACACACTTCTTTCTCTGCACATAGTACTCAGCACATATGAGAAAGAGTGTGGGAAGGTCAAACACACAGCACTACCAGCGGACTAGCCCCCTGCTGTAGTGCCTTGCACAACTGTGTGTCGCCCAAGGGCTACGGAAATGGAGATGGGCACCAAACCCTATGCTCTGAATAAGAGCACGGGAGACCTTCTTCCTTCTTCTTCTTCTTCATGGAAAGAATGCAAAGTATACGATACTGTACCCATGTCGTCGCCCTTCTCCGTAGTTCTAGTGGTGGTCTTGACCGAAGTAGTTGAATCCGCAGCAGCCGATGTTGAACTCTCCATGCTGCTAGTTGATGGTGTCGGTGGGACTGGGGTGGTGTTCATCTCGGTGGTGGTTGTTGTGGTCTCCACTGTTGAAAGGCTTGCAGGTGTGGTGGTGGTGACGATCTCTGTGAGAATATATTTTGTACACGAAGTTAAACCTTTGTCTAACTTTTGGGAAACAAAGCCAGAAAGGTAACATTTGCAAAGCAATTCTTGTTGACCTTCACATGGTCTTAAGCCTAACAGACCACTGCTCTGTAGACATTTACATATATGGTAAATAGCCTTTCCAAGTCTTTATGGCCACTTACTACACAATGTAACACCACAGAGTGCCTGATACAGCACCAATTACCATGGTGACAGCCATTTGGTCCAGGGTATTGACCTTATTTGTTTGAAACGGAAGAAGAGGGAAAATAAACAGAGCCCAAACAATGTGTTTTCCTTCTGCGAAGATAAAAATAACCACTTTTTTTTTCATTCAAGCAGAATACCTTTAATACATTTGCAGTGATTGTTTGGAGAAATCTATGTTAGAATGTACAAAGTATGTCAGGGAGAAGAAAGTACGAAGAATTTTGATGTACTCGATGTATCGTATCAAGAACCGTGCCCTTCTAGTAATATATACCTGGTTACGTTAGGGTTAGGATTAAGCACGCGTACGGTTCTTGATATGGTCTCCATGTATCCAAGACCATTAAGATTTAGATTTCCCTAAGGCAAGATTCACAAATTACGCGTGAAAGGTATCCAGGATATGGCTCTGAATAAAGCATGGTTCTGGATACAAGAAGTTAAAGGCAACTACAGTCCCTTTGGGTGAAGCATGGGGATGGGATAAGGTAAAGGTACAGATATCCTGTAGGACATTGAAGGTTACATGTAAATATTACCTGTACAAGTGGTACCGTTCCCTGTGAACCCCTCCAGACAGACACATTGGTACGTCCCAGGCAGGTTCACGCAGTAGGCGTTCTCAGAACAGGTGTCTTTGTTGGAACACTCATCATCATCTGCCGATTAGAACGGGAAAATCGTTAGAATCTGTTCTACTCTGTGGAGTATTAACAACCAGGAATGGCCTCACCTGACCAGACCCATAGCTGTCAATTGTAATTTGTAATTGAGATAAAGACTGGGGAATATAATTTGCTCTAAACAAAGTATCACATATGAGGCATTTGGAAGCTGACCTGTCTCGCGAATGAAATGTTCGCTAAAGATGACGGCCAACGAATTATTACGTGGTGTATGTTAACATGTACGAGATGTAGTGTAGCAACCGAGGGATTAGTTATTTCCTATTATTCAGCGACAATAAATTCTATGCATGGGGAATGCATGTGTGTGTGTATGTGTGTGTGTGTGTGTGTGTGTGTGTGTGTGTGTGTGTGTGTGTGTGTGTGTGTGTGTGTGTGTGTGTATGTGTGTGTGTGTGTGTGTGTGTATGTGTATATGTGTGTGCGTGTGTGTGTGTGTATGT